GATCGTTGTGGTGACCTGTTCCTGTTTGTATGACCCATTTGCATTCTGGTGACAGCCTCAGTGAGACTCTTAACACTCGCAATGAGTCCTTCTATGACGGGGTCTTTTGCTGATTCTACTTTCTGTGTGTGATTTATTGTGCCTGATCCAGTTGGAGGACCTCTTTCCATTATTCTATCAGCTATACGCGCTAAATGAGATAATGAGGTTTCAGGATCTTGTGCATCCAAACAGTGTTGGACGTAGCATGGGAGAGCTTGTATCCATCCTTGCTTTAGGACTGCTTCACCCACTGTGTTATCACCCACTAAGACTTGGAGGTGACGTAGAAACTGTGACGGCGACCGATCACCTAGTGTTTCACCTTGAAAAAGTCTTTGGATTCTTTGACTATCTGATAATGATAAACGGTTCATTATCTCTCGTCTTAAGACGGTGTACGGTTGTGGTGATGGTGGATCTAAAATCAAGTCACGGACTTCTTTGGCGACTGAAGGAGGAAGGATAGAACACAAATCTCTATAGCGAATCCCTTCAGATTTGATATTGTGTCTCGTGAAATAATGTTCGAGTTGAGCAAACCACAACTCAGGATCACTACGATCAAATTCTGGAAGTCGAGATTTCGTAGTCATAACAGTGTCTATCTCCACTGGTGACAAATCCTCCAGATTATGGGTTTCTTTTAAGTCTGACATGATGTATGTGACAAATATAGCAACAAAATTAGCACGAAAAAAAAATGGTTTCTATGACACGAATAACTTAAGATAATAAAAAAATAAACTATTTATATACCCAACTTAGTTTACGGATTATCAGGTCTACTTTTACGATTGAGTAGAAAAAAATAATATTAATAACAAAAATGAGGTTAATTTGTGTTCAAAAAGGGCTCACCAGTTTCGTGCCTATAGGTAACCCTCGTACTATTGATAGAAGAAACCCGAGAAGTTGTGAGTACGACTTTATTTCGATCTTAGCGCAGTCACAGTGGAGCGTGGGATTATCTGTTCAGACAAACAAAGGCTTTCAGCATTCAATATAAGATAATAAGGAATATAACGCTTATACAAAATAAGGAAGTGAATGAATACTTGAACAATACTGTTTTGGCATATGCTTGGTTGTTTGGGGTCAACTCTTAACCAACCAACCTATGCTGTTACACACCCCATTTTTACAGGCATGATCTACAAATTACAACATTTGTTGGTGCACAGCATGCTGCCCAACTTATCAAGTTTATCGTTGTTATAAAGTAGACTCGAAGAGCGCTTGTTGTAAACCATGACTTTGAGGAGACGCGTAGGTCAAGTTTGTTCCAGACTTCGAAAGGTTCATAGCTGTGCCCTCAAAGCAAGATTCTGAAGAACGAAAAAAGAGAAACAGAAGAACAACAAGACACTTGGATATGAATGCCAAACGTCGCTTAACATTGTGTAGTAGAACAGACAGAGGTATAATAAATAAGATTAAATTTATATTATCTCTTTTTAGAGTGAAATGAAGTCAGAGGCTCCATATTAGAGAATGGAGTAATAAAGAACAATGAGTTGTGCCGTTTAACAGGTTGGAGTAAGCTCACATGAAGGAAGGGAAGTCAAGGTTGGTACAAGGAAAGCGGCTTATTAGGAGGCAGTGTGCATATAGAGGGTGGAGTGTTAAGAATACTGATAACTATAACTTCTTTCTTTTCTTTTTTGTCCATCCGATGCCAGCCACACAATCCTAGTGTAAAAGTCAGAGTTAGCATGTTTTATGTTGTCTTAGTAGAATAGATTAGCCAGCATAAAATTAGAAATATTAGTCTGAGTGGTGAGCGTAGGAAGACAATTTATATCACAAATTGATTGGCTAATTATCAATCACAAAGAGCATGATACATTCAAAATTTTCTGCCCCACAAACACGAGTGGATTGATGTCATCGCCTCCACCATCTATGCTTGCTGGTCAGTAACTCCACCCTTCTTCCTTTTGTGATTTTCGGCTCATTTGAGCTTATTTTTGGATATATGTCATACTTCACACATTCCTTTGTGTTTCACAACATAGACACTATTTCTATAAGTAACATTTTACAAGCTTATCGGACAGTTACAAGTTATGAACTGTGGGTAAGGCATCGATGCAGTGCTTTTGTTGAAGATAGTATAAAGTACAATTTGCCAATCAGACTATAGGCATTAAGAAGGGTAAATTGTAGGATAGTTGTTTATTAAAGCAGGCGGAAAAGTATAGAAGTATATGAGTTGTGAATAAGGGAACGAGTGGAGAGATAATAATAATTGCTAGTCAACATAGTGTGCAATAGAGTAAAACGTTAATACAGGATGAACAGGAAGAAACAGTAACTTGGTACTGATGTTATTTTGTGTTGTTTTAACCAGTTGATTGGTGACAGGCTCCATAGATGCAAGACCACTGGTAGTAGGCAATCGATTGTGCGGTCCTCTTGACTTTCTTTGGGTGGTAGTGAGTGTCCCTTAGCGACCGAGTTTATTTGAACAGTGTCGATAGGTCCAGTGAGTTACCCGCCTATTTCAAGTGAAGAAACAGGGTGGAAAAAGTAACTAACACAACTGCAAAGTAGGAAAAATAAGGCAAACTGAACTTGCAATGCATTTTGGTCTAGACATGGAGAGAGCCTATGATGTCTGAGTGGGGCGCAGATGTGTTCGTATGTGCTAAATCAGTGCAAGTGAGGGCTTGATCAAGCAGTTTCACAACCGTATGTAATTCATCTGCCAAGCGTATTCCGGGAGGAAAACTGTTCCATATTATTGCATACTTGGTGGGGAAGAAGTTTTCCCGAGTTTTTGATCCGTATTTCTCAACTTTGACCGAAGATACTTTGTTTCGAAGGTCATATTCATGTGAATCTCGAGCAAGAACTATTTTACATATTGAATAAGTAAGGTTTTTGAGTAATGTGAAGCAAAGAATCAAATTAGACCTAAGCCTTCTCTCCCAAATGGATGCTATTCCTAAGATTTGGCATCAGGAACTGTAGTCACTGACTGAGTCAGTCTTAAGTATTTTGCGGGTGAAGCCTCGTTGTATTCCTTCCACCTTCGGTATATCAGAAAAGCGTAGGTTGGAAAATAAGAACGAGCAGTATTCAACGATAGATCTTACACAAACTTTATGAAGAAGGATTTTAGATTCTTTGTGATAGAAACTACGGAGAACGATGCCGAGCAATTTCCGCATATTAGATGCTTTGGCTGAGATGTGTTCAGAGAAATTAAGACCGTATGAGTAATGCACCCCTAGGTCAGTTACTGATGCCAGTCTGGGCGCTCTGTGATTGCTAAATGTTGGTTTCATTATCGAAATATAGTGTAACAGCTAGTTTCTTCTGGTCGCGTATGCGAGTAACGTCATTAAAGAAGTCTATCAGACATGTAGTGCACGGCCTTGTTCTAATGAAGCCATGTTGTGATGGGTCTATTAAATCTTCCCAGAGTAGGTGAACAGATAGTTGATTTTTTATCACTTTTTCCATTATTCGTGATATGACTGGAGTGATATTTACGGGTCTGAAGTTTTCGACCAGGTTTCTCGGTCCGGATTTGTGTTTGGGAAGAACATGCGTTACCTTCCAAATTTCCGGATGTGTACCTGTCTCTAAAGATAATAAGTATGTTTTGAGTAATCGTGTCTGTATGTCCGGTCATGAGATTTTATAAAGGACTGAAGGGATATTATCGGCACCAGAAATGTCATTTGGCTTAATCGTTTTAATAGCGGTGTGTATGCTCCTAATGTCGAAGTTTATGGTACTAAGATAATTTTTGCTGATGCACTTTATGTTGATATCCATGGCATGAGATGCAATCCCATTGTGGGAAAACCGTTTACTTAATAGGTTTTTTATGACGGTTTGGTCATTATACGTCATTTCATCATGCAGTAAGCAGCGAATATTGTGATCTGCGTTCTTTCTTATGCGTTTTGCGAGGAGACGTCTTAAGCTTTGTGCTTTAGACGCAGCAGTGAGCGCAGCACGTTCCCCTTCCTGTTTATGCTTGTTGTGTTGACTTTGTACTCCGTCATTTACAGAGTATATCTGGTACAGGGCACTGAAGTCTTTTGACATATAGTACGTCCTTTTCAGTCTTCGCAGTTTAGAAAGCTATGTTATGATCGCTGTTGTGAAAATTTTCGCCAAGCACTTCAAATAATTACGTCGAGTTTTTTTATTGTAGAAATATATAACTGAATTATTTTATAACAACCACCGATATATCATTTGTTTTGTATCAGTTTCTTTGCCGCTATAAATTACAGATTTTCGTGCATTTTTTCCCGTCACTAAAAGGCAATACGGGGGTTATGAAAGATTGTAAATCAAGATGTACAAAAGAAACAAAACCAGGAAGAATTTATCGAGGACACGTTAATACACGAAGACCGAAACACAGATTTACAAAAATAAGGAAGGAATATAGAAGTTGTAATTGTAATGTAAAGTCCCTTGAATAATATTCAGGGTTGAAATCATGAATCCATCTAAGTCAAACTACCAGTAAAAACCTGAGGGCATAGAATGATTTACTAATCCCACTATATGACTCCTCACTAAATACCCTGCACACAGGACTCAAAACCAGAACGTTCGGCCTCACATGAGAACGCTTTTAATCAAGACCACTGATTATTGTCTACCTTTAATAAATCTACGTTTTTGTATAACCCTTGAAGGGTTGAGCAAATCTGAACACCATACTATGGTCAAATGACCATCCAATCCTTGCAGGTTTTAGTTGGTGGTCTCACTTAGACCATTTAAAATACTACAGTTTTAACAAATCTCCATATTAAATTTAGTTTAACAATAAAGTGCACGGTACTTGACGAGCTATTTCACGTTTTACAAGCGCAGAACACGCATCAATTTTTCTTTTGATTAATAACGGCCAAAAACGTACAGTGGTCTTCTGGATGCTTACGGTTTCATTTTTCTTGTTTAAAATACTCACATATCGAATACGTAAAGGTCAATGTGAAGTCACCTTTTGAAATATTTAGGTGATGTACATTTCAGAGATTCTGAATTGGGATGGAAAATACAACAGCAACCTAAAATATAGAAGTATTTATCTTGTTATTATTGAACTCTTCAAGATGTTTGTATGAAGAGCCTCAATTCTCCTGTTTCTGATATTATGCGACAAGGAATCCCAGAGAAAAACCTTTGTTTATTGTTTTGTGGCGGATCAAAATGTAAATATTGCAACCCTTCATCGTTTTTCTACAAAACCAAAATGCACTTGAATGGCTTATACTCTACTTGGTATTCGTATTATTACATATAATGTTTAGGATTACACAAAATATACTGGCAACGTCTAGACCAAGCGAAAAATTAATTAAAGAATTTGATATAATTGAGCAGTTTAAAAGGTATAGTGAGTAATGGCACAGATTTTTGAAAGAATGGGTATTTGCTCCATATTTAACATGGAAACAGCAGGGGAACACAGTAGTTGCGGCTTTGGTGTACTCAATTCTGGATTTTCATATGACCCATTAAGCTTCATGAAAAACAATAGTAAGTGTATTCTGAGCTAAAAAGATGATATATACAGTTGCTTTTTACAATTTTAGCTGGTATGTATCGGTTATTTTGACGAATATCGTGTTAAGGTGTGACTATGATGTAGCATCACTTCAGTTCATTTTGGATACAGTAATGGTAATCCAGTTTGCAATATTTAAAGGAAAAATCGCTATTCACTGTCATGCTGGACTTGGTTTGTTTGTATGCATTTCCGCATAACGTTTCAGGTAGAACTGGTGTAATAATTGCCTGTTATCTAGTATTTAATAACCGCATCTCCGCTGGTGAAGCAATACACTATGTTAGATTCCGAAGGTTAGAAGTATTAAAACATTTTATTTCGATAGACCAGGGTCTATACAAACCCAGAATCAAGTTGAATGCGTATATAAATTTGAAAAGTATCTGAATCCTTATCGAATATATTTCGGATCACAGTAAGTTAGTAATTAAATTTTTCATTTGATAAAATTAGCAGACAGTTCAGTTTAGAAGCATTTCTTAAACGCCAGAACGTTTTATTGCATGGACCGGAGAGAATAAGGCTAAGAAATATTCCAAAAGTAAATTACTTCAACTGGTTTTCTCTACATTTATTCCTGAGACAATAAATTTTACTTTAGGCTACTCAGTGTATCTGTTGTCTTTCTGTGTTGTCACTTTTTAATCTGATGAACAGTAAGCAGTTATTGCCAAAAACACAACGATTAATGATAGTCAGACTCATAGAATATGACAACAGTATATTGATTTAAGTTATTCCATGTCTTTTGTGTGGATCGTATTGACGCTTATCGATTCTCATAACAAATTTTGGAGTTTTGATTTCAACATCCTTGTTAGCACTTTAGATATGTTAAATAAATGACAGACACATAACTTATTTTATATTTCTATAGTCGAAGAGCATGCTTTTAGGTGTGATTTCTAGAATTTTCATTTCTTCAGTCGTGGTTCTATAATATTTTCTATGTATTTTACACGTTGTGCGTCAATAGGTTTTAATAGTTTAACGAAAAATAAAGGTTGTCTAAATAACTCTTGGAAGTCATGCTATCTTTAAACCTCAAGATGATTCATTTGCCAACAAACTTTCATATTTCACTTGAGATTTCATAATGGATGCACGTTAGTCCTAAGAAGGACGCATGGACGTGAAAACTAGCTATACGGTATTTTATTGACATAGTGTATATCGTTACAGGCAACTTCTTTTACAAGCTTTTTACCAAACATTACGTACTAAATTACCGTCGATAACGTTGGCCTTTTCCTGCAGTAGGATGGTCTTCACATATTTGGACACAATTTTTTAAACTTTTTAAGTGCACCATTTGAATTCGTGGATAGATGAGTTTTGAAAAGCTCAATTTACTGATTGAGTTAGCTAGAAATTAGGAATTTACCCAGTCATATTCTAACTGTCGTAACTCATTTAGTTATCTGATATATGCACATTAGGTGACCTACAAGTGCTTGCATGTCTTGGTTAGTTGGCTTTTAACTCTCATTCTTCTACCAAACACATACTCGTGTTTTATAAAGATGATTTAGTAAAAAGGTCTCTTAACAATGACTATCACTAGATTTCTGTAAGGGATTTATAACTTTACTCGAGAACTACGATTCTTAGTGTGACAGGTGCTCAAAAAGTATTATCTCCCAAAAATCAGCAAGTTTTGGACTGTCAGCAATGTATATTTGTGTCCAAAAATACAAATGACAATACAGTTTTTAATGGTTTTGTACAAAATTTTCAAACAATAAAGTGTTTGAAAATAAACCTTTTGTCTACAACAACTTATTTAGACTTAGACCTCATGGACTGTATATAAAATTTAACATTAAACAACGAATATTATTCACCGAAATAATCCTAAATGTTTGTTAATTATAAAATTTGGTTATATTGTAAGTTTATCCTATATCTCTTAAGGAACTTTACCGGCGTAACTAGTTGTAGATTATTGAGATTTCGGTTTATAAACAGTGTATTGTAATGACAAAACACTTACATTGACTAATTTCTTACTACTGACATAATTCTAGGTCAGAGCACGTGTTTATTGATCACATTAGATTGTATTTGAACCATGTTTTAAAGCTTAAATAAGAACATTCGTATAAACTTGAGCGAGTGAGGTTTAAAACCTCAGAGGTATTGTTGGATCAAAAACTAAATACACCTAATATTTTACAAATTCATTCTTCCTCTTTAATGTTCTGAAGCTGTTTAGAGTGAAATATCATATACCAACGACACGTAACATTGTCGCTCTGGAGTTACAAATCTACCACTAAAGCTATAAGTTTTCACCTAAAAACTATACAATATCCAGCTTATGGAAAACCGTCATATACTTTTTAATTATTGATAACTTAAAGGTTGATTTTGTTTCGTAATACAAACCATCTTTTGGAGTTTTATGATGACCATTATGAGATATTGTATTTTTATTGTATTTTTTCACATGAACAAAGTAGTTTTTTAAGTTAACCGATGACATTTAATTTAGCTTACGGCCACCGGCTCAATTTCCTTTTAAAAATAAATATGCTCCCATGTAAACCTAATTTAATTAATTAATTATTTATATTATTATAAGCTTCATTATTATTTACATTCACAAATGCATTCCACATCAAAGCATTTTATAAAGGTCGAACAGTTTTCTACATTTACACGTAACAATAGCGATTGCTATTTTTATTTTGCCTATTGTTTAGTTTGAATTTTTAAATCTTCTTCTTAGTTGGATTATCCAGAAAATAAATAAATTGTGACATATTTAATCTCCAAAACTGAAATTTACCTGCTCGTTTTAAGGCAAAATTTGTTCCACCTTTGAAACAGTCATGTAAAAATGTCCCTCAACGGACATTAATTGGTTCACTGGTTTCTCTCTAAAATCTAAAAGCCTAATTACTTTTCACATGATTAAAAAAACTTGTAGCCTAAATGTATTTTCATTCCCAAACACTCTTCTTTCACTTATTAGTTATTACTACATAACTAGTTTCTTTGGTTTAAACGATTGTAGAGAAAGTTCTCCTTTGCTGACTGATCTTAGTTGGAAAATAATTGAAATCTATGGAGTAGAGGATAGCTGTTTCATTCTAATATGAAACACCTTGTCAAGCCTCATTTTGTAACTCCATCATGAGTCAGATCCAAAATCTATAGGCCTCGCAGTGAGTAATTAGCCTTCTGACGACTAAATGATCATTCAGAGGTTCTTAGTACAGCACGAACATCATCCGCTGCAATTAATGAGACTCATATTGAATCCAAAATGAATGTATTCTACTAGTCACGGCTTCCCATTATAACTTCGGGAATAACGCCTAAAAGTTAGCCACCAGTACGCACTAGGGTCATTCCGTGATATAAAACTACAAAATAACTAATCGTTCAAGGAAAGTTTTCCGACATCATATTATAGAAGAGATTTTGATTTAATGTAAAGGAAGTATGGTGTATGAATTAAAATATCTTTTTGGGGCTAGTGTTTGTCGACCATCACATTTGAGTTTTAGACAGGTCAATTTACTGTTTCATTATGATTTATTCTGTACGGCTTAACTTTTTCGGGTTAAGAGTCCTTCATCTCTCTGAACTCACGAACCAATTTAAATAAACAACCATTGAAAATTTGAAAGAACTTGACAGATGTTTCGTTTCAATATCGGACTCAGCAGCGAGAATCCGCAGCCAAACAGTCGAAAATCAAACCCAAGATCTTCAGTCTTGCGCGTCTATTATTTCTATCTAACACTTCCAAATTCAATTATGGTGTGCACTGGTGGCCAGATTGTGTTTTATGATGGTGTGTAATTATCTGGGAGAATGTTCCATATCAAAAGGTTTTTCGCATTAATTTATTTGAATTTAAAATACATTGAAATTGTATACTACGATGGAAGAAATCGGAAAAAAATAACGGACATCTGTGACAGTATTGTTATTTAAATTCGGTGTGCGAATCTAGCACTTACTATTTAGTGACATAATAAAAAGCCCTCATTTTTGATTGGGGAGCGCTAACTCATCCTGGACTCACTGGGCGTGGACAAACATAAGAACAAAGATCAAAACAATGGGCGACACAACCAAAACAAAGAAGTAAACAATGACAAATTTAAGGTCAATAAGAACCAATCAACATCGAGGTGCACAGGACAAGCTTTGAAACACATATGGAGAAATTCAAACACTTCACTTCTATTTGAAGTTTGTGCTGATGATGTCGTTCAGAAGAACGATGAAAGCTCCACAACCAAACCATCCAGCTCAGAGAACAAAACTGCACCAAAATAGATGGAAGAACCAAACAATTTTACTATTCTGATTACTTAGTGTGAATCGATGAAATCATCAAGCATAATTTATCGATCGTAATTGAAGAAAAACCAGAAAGTGAATAGATAATAACTTTACGGTTCTTTTTGTACAACCAGTAATAATATAATAACGACCATAACAACGAGAAACTTGTAATCTTTCTATTAGATTTCTGAGATATAGAAAACAGTCTGACATTTCTGTTTGTTCACTAAAAGCTAAGTTACCAATAGTAACTACCAAGTACGTCACGTTTTGTGATGTTTAGGCTTTTTAGACTCTCTCTCTCTCTCTCTCTCTCTATATATATATATATATATATATATATATATATATATATATATATATATATATATATACTGAAACACGTTTGTTATGTAGTATGTCCTCATTTCGTAAAACCCGAGCTTATTCATCTGATAAAATGAATGACCATCATTATTACGATTATGTAACTACACAGAGTCAAAGGGTTGGTTTCGCAGAAATTTAGCATATATGAATGTTTAAAAAATGGTAATATAAGGCTTGAATAAATATATAAATACACATCAGGGGAATTAGTGTTTTTTCGGCTCGGAATGAAATGAAAATATTTTCCAAAATGGGTAGATAATTCTTTTCTTTTTATTGCTTTATTGTTAAAAGTGCAATTATTTAACTTTTCTGTGAAGAATTTATTTTGTACTTTACTATTTATTCAACGTCATACCTCTGTTTTCAGTCTTCACTTTTGTCTATAAAACAATAAAAACAAATCACATTCATAATGAGATACTTTCTCTAGAATGCAACCTAGGTCCAATGTTACCAAATGACTATTTCCAACCGCGTGATATTAAAATAATGTATGTAATGTCGAAACACTTCGACTAAAAAACTTGCCATTGGTTACTACCCAGTAATCAATTAAATAAGCAATATTTTATGTACATAGATACTCTAAGAAATTGGCATAACCACGACACCTGCATTCAGACTGACAGATGTTACACCTTTTTGAATAGGAGGTATGTAGAACAGTTCATTAACTCGAATTCAACATCTTATTAACTGACAGACAGTGTTACTGTTTAAGGCTTAGATGTATTGGAAACTTTTTAAGTATGCTTAGTTCCTAAACGAGAACCGAGTTTAATGAAGTTGTAACAACGAGAGTGAAGTGATCTACTAAAACTACTAAGTCACATTTTTACTAACCTATTCTACTAGTAAGCACTAATCAGGACTGCGATGTCGAGTCACTTAAACTTCAGGTAGCAGTTAGACTTAAATGATAGAATTCGATAAGTGTTGAGCGACAGCCGGTAAGACATTGGTTCCTAACCAGTTATCAAAGTAATATCTGGTCACAGAACTCTATTTGTGTCATTTATATCCTTTCCTACATTTATTTTATCATTGACAAATGTTCATGGAAACAGTTAAATGTTATTTTCGAATTCAAACCATTGGATGTGGCTTTTACACTAAAATCCAAGTTCTGTGTTTTATCACATTTTAGATTATATACATGTGTTGCAAAGTGCTTGTCAGAATCATCGTGACAGGATGTACATCAGTACAAATAGATTCCTCAAACCACAGAAATCAAATAGTGAGCGGTGAAAACAATTGTCAATCAATAAAAAGGTAACCAGTTTACTAATTGTTATTAATGTATATTTATCATGTTTATCTGTGAATAAGAATCATGTGTTCACCCTACCAGTGAACAAGTCATACAATTGTATTTATGATAATTTTTTTCCTTGTGAGAGTGGCAACCAATTGTTTGCATTGTATGAGGGAAGACTGTTTTATAACTCCTCTACTGTTTATATTAAAAATCATGACAATCAAGTTGTTAGATTTAAAACTCAATCGGTTTGATTAAAACCGTCAGCGGCTTTTCGCAATTTTCAAATTTTGTATCGAATTCTGTATGTGATGGGAATCTTTTTTCTTTCATTTAATTTACAGCTAGGAATCCTAAAATTTGGTAGTTAACCATATTTCTAAGGAAATGTTCTAATGAAATACACAAATCCTTATGCTCAGCTTTTACTTTTCTTGGAAAAAGTAGATTTCGTTTTTCTGAACGCTTTAGTGCAAAATTATATCCTGAAATTAAACCCTTTTTTAGACTTCAAGTATTTTGAATGTTCCGCATCTTGAACTTGTTGGTCTCATTATAGATGATCATTTTAAAACGAAGAAAGAACCTATTCTTTTAATGATATCTTTGTTTCGAAAAAAGTTTAAATTTAAGCATAAGATACTATTTGTTTGATATTAACCAAACACTTGCTTGTATATAGCTGATATAGAGTACATTTTGCTACAGCATCGAACTAGTTGTACTATGAAACTAAATGTTTTTTTACAGTCGTAATTTAATTACTTCTTACGTGAAAATACTGTTTACATAAGTATTATTGATTAACTAGCCAAAATAACTCAAGAAAATAGTTTTCCATGTACTAAGAAGCTAAAAAATCAATCACTGACAAATTCCCCGGCAATTTGTAAATACACAATGATAGCGAAACTGAATGTCATTTTGTGTAATCTTTATTGTTTAATAGTCTAGCTAAAATTTTCTACTTCTTTATAGCATTTTTAATTGATCATATTTAACTTTAAATGATTTGGACTGATTCATTATTGTGAAATGTTATACGAAATCTAAAATTATATTACTGACAAAAGTATTCAGTTTTCATTATTTTGTTTAAACTTTTTCCCAAAATATTTCAAAAGCTTTGTATTCTGTTATGTGAATTTGTTCAGCTTACATATATATATATTACATCTTTTCCCATTGAATTAATTTAAATGATAAATAAACTAAGGCTACTCTGTTCTTTCCCTTATGATTTCGAATACGATCTAATTTATTTTAAAATGAACAGTCAGGTAAATTTCTCAACATATGGTTGGTATTTTGTTAAACTCTTCATGATCTTTCTTCGAGCATATATATATTTTGAATAATTTCAATAGTTGAGGCCATGAGTCGATTGAAACTAGATGACCATGGAAAACCTGGAATCACTGGGCGGCCGTTTCGTCCTAGTATGAAACTCCTCAGCAGTGTGCATCTACGATCCCACCCCCCTCGAGATTCGGACGTGATTGCGCACTGCTGAGGAGTCCCATACTGGGACAAAACGGCCGTCCAGTGCTTCCACGTTTTCCATGATGGTCTCGCTTCAAGTGACTCATGATTTCAACTATTGAATTTGCTAAAATCTCCACAAAACCCCTTCTTATATATTGAATATATAATTCAATTAATATATCAATCAAGCTGAAATGACAAAGTTTTTATGTATCTAAATGTTTCAGCTGGATTAAAATCGTAGATTTATTTAAAAATTTAATTTAATAGATAAAATCCTCGTTTTAGGTCTTTAGCTTTGAATTAATTAATTGTAATAAGTATAAAGTTGATTGTTTACATTTGATCCTTAAAATTTAATCCACTTATTCATTTTTAACCCATTAATTGAAATCTAATAACGGTTTTCTGTCATAACAAATAATTTATCAAAATAATCTATTGGAATCATTATTAAAAGTTATACAAATCATGCATTATTTGATCATGTTCAAAAATCTTTATTTCTTTATAATCGTTATATTTCATATATAGTGATGTTTTTATACAGCCTATTATGATTGTATATATCGTTTCATAGTACTTACTAATTAACGATGAAAGTACAGAATTTCATTGAGGAATTGAATCAGTCATACATTTTAAAAAAAGTAATAATAATTCAGATGATTTTAAAGTACTTACACATAATAACTAAATATCTAAACGGTTAAGCAACATTAAATCTTAATCAATATTCGATTTGTTCAATTTATTACATTAACTAGTTATAAACTGAACAAAAGTTGATAAAATCAATTGAATGAGAAGTGTTTTAATTATTAAATGATATAAATTATTGAGTTTTCAGACAAGAACACATGGTAACTCATTACCCCTTGTAAATGTTTGTTCATAAATTCTGAGAAAGAAAAATATGATGAAAAAAATTTACTCAATACAATGACCGTTGTCCATATTTTGCCCAAAGTTTGTTATTTTGACCGTATACAATATAATGTACATTTTGGATACTTTAACCATTCATCTAAACGGCTGGATGTTAGCATCCGCTATCCTCTAACATAGTTATAATCAGAAATTTTAACCTATAAGTAATTGTTCTCCAGTTTATTACTTACATTTTAATGAACTATAATTATGTATTCACTTATTAACCGATCTTTTCTCTATTTTGTTTCAATGCTCTGATTATCCTACGTCGATATTGTGCTGTTAGCAATTACATATGAAACGTGTGTTTTTATTCTCTTTATTTGCTTACATTTTACCTGAGTTACTTTTTTGTTCTAACCAACTCGTAATATTGAGTAAAATATTTTGTGTCGTAGGAATGACTCTAATAGGATATATGAATCACGAAACAATAATTCCTACAGTCACTCCTTGATGATATGTTGAATTATTCTGTCAATTTAATCAATCTATCGTACACTTATTAACTTCCAAGCCCGACTTGAATATACCAAAAATCATTACACTTATTCAATAAACTACGTACTTTTAACGTGTGTGGATTAGATATCACCATATATATATTTCTATGACAAGGTTCTACAAATTGCAAATATTCTTCAGTTTATTACTTAACTAGGAAGCATATTTTAAAAATCCTCTTCCACATTGTCATTACAAAAGGTCAGCGTTTTCTTAGCGAGTTAGTTTTCTACGGGATGTGGTCGCTAACCCCACGCCCAATCCACCTCCTTTTAAACGGGTCTGGGATCGGCAGTAGCCTCAGAGAGGCTCCAGGTGGAGTTACAAAAGGTACATTCCGATAAAACCATAGATTATGCGCATGAATAAGATTTGATTCATGAAAGTATTAGGTATATAAACAATTAGTGAACACTTAACAGTTATTTAACTTTTATTTTCCAAATGATAGTGGGATGTTTTTGACGCGAATTGAAATCTTTATGGAGTTTTGTAACAAAACAAATTAAGTCGAACTAGTTTGAGCTTACTTTAGGTAACAAGGATAGTTCTTGCCTCTGAGCTTAATGATTTTGAGTACATTATCTATTCTCAATGTTTTTTACAAATCGACAAAGCTTATATACAGGAATTTTCAATTGTATTGTCGAACGTAATCTTTATCGCATATCAAAATTTTGATTCATCTATAAATCAGGATTAGGTAGTTGAGATGAAAAAAATTATAGAAATTACTTATGATTTTGAGTTCAGCATATCATTTACTTAATCATTGTCCTTAAATATGCTTTGTGTGGGTATCTTGTGAATTTAAGAACTTTTTAAATAATATTTGAATGTTTTATTGAATATACTTTACAAATAATAATTCTATTGATTGTTTAAAGGCTTTCCACAACAAATGTTACACAACCAGAAGCATTCACTAGTTGTCAACCAGATGAAACAAATGAACTAACGAGTACAACTGTAGATTATTCATATGGTATGCTTTGTTCCAAAAAGATATGATGACAAGTAAATTTATTGTGTAATTTATTTTCAATGGGAATTCTCTTTGAACCGATGTAATAATGGATATTTTTCTACCAACAAAATCCTTTCTTAGAGCAGTGGGTACTTAGATTCAATAGCTAATAAGATAACGTGTTTGGCTTCTGAAGTGAAATGTACTGTGTTGGAGTCCCAGTGTAAGTATCAGTACTGGGATCCATGCGTCTTGGATTCAATTATCAGGCACTTCTTAAAAAATTGCTTAAAAATTCTTGTAATATATTGGCACCGTTGAGGCAGTCCGCTGAGGATGATCATATGCCAAAAAAAGGAAACTAATCAATCTGAGTCCTTAACATCAACAACACTAAGATTCAAAGCTTTCAAGTGATAACAACAAATAATATGCTAAACCTTCAAAGTTTATTTTGAAATGTATCTATCAATAATTTGTTTCCGATAATAGTTTGAACTGTCTAAAATTCTGCTTACAAGCTTATCGTTTCGGAATGTTAGTAAGGTCGATTGACTTTTCTAAGATTCATTACATTTGATACTCTACAAAAACCTGAGTTCGGTGACTTGTGTGGCCATAAATATAGATTATTAAGAAGTTCCACGTTAATATGCAACAATTCTTTGTTGTTTTTTTTAAAATTTTCAATGATAATTTAGTTGAAATTAGTTTATGCTTGAATGCACCAGGAAATAACATATACTACAAGTGTTAACTTAAATTCAAGTATTATTCTGTTTTCAATCTTACACAACATTTATTTTTAATTTAAAAATATGTGTATATTTCAGGTATCAACTGAATTAGTACTGTGTTCATGAATAAGGGAAAGATAATTAAAAAAACATAATCTTTAATTGGTTTTATTTTCTGAAAGTTATTTCCATTACCTTAAGATGAATCACTTTTATATTACTGATTTATAAGTATATGGTTGCATAATCTGTAATCAGTTGGCAGAAACTTTGTGCTTTCATTTTTATTGGTTGCTACCATCTTCATAAAACTAATACTTATTTAAAAACCAATATATTTCACTCAAAGCCTTTGTATTGAAGACTCCATCACAGATGTACTCATAGTGTTGCTTCTTCTATGTTTGATATAGTAATTTGTGATACTTAACTCATAAATATTTAACAATGTGATGCTTATTTCTAAATTATTCAACATTTTACCTGCAAAGGAATATACAACGATAAGCACGGTATACTGTTACTTCGTGTCATTTACCTTAATAACTTTGCTGTATTCCTTGTTCGGCTGACTTGGAATCAAAGTATGTTGTGTATTTAAAAATAAATTTGTCATATGATCATATTATCACTATATTGTAAGTAGAATACTAAGTTTATAAAAGTCCAGTCCTACTGAGATTTATTCATCGTCCATAAAACATTGAACAGCAAAATTTAGCAATATAATTGAGGATATCTACATTAATTTAGTTAGGATTGCAATCTTCTTATAAATACAACATATGAGATAATCAGCCAAGAGGTTTTCAAAGTTTTTGAATTTTTTACGAATTAATTACAAAATCGAACTAAATAAAAGTAAATGATTTTCTATAATAATTTCATTATTTATTGACATTTCTACACGAAGATATTTGACATTATTTATCTCTGAAAATTCCAACAATTTTTTCTACTTTCTAGGAAAGAATTCTCCAAATCAAAGTGTAGATGATAATCAGTCTATTGGTGCAAGCTCTGTTATTGAAGCTCTGCTCACTACACAATATCCTGAATCAGTTGTGAATGAAACGGAATATTGGAAAGTATGTTCGTTTTTATTCAATTTAAACAAATATCTTGAAAATTATATTGTCATCTCTTTAGTATTATTATTATATGACGTTATCAGATACTCTGAGATACTTCAATATTGTGGAAAACATACTTCGTAAATGTTTACTGAGTATATATATATATAGGTGGAGTTTTGTTCTTTTAGTTAGTTGGTTTGGTCGTGGAGCTTTCATTGTCATTCTGAAGAAGATCATCAGTACAAAATTCAGGTAGAAGTGAAGTGTTTGAGTTTCTCTACATATGACTCGGAATTTATCATGTCGACCTTGAGCCTGACGGGTTATTGTTGACCTTTAACTTGTTATTTTACGCCAATTTATTTTGATTGTTTCTCCTTTTGATATTCTTGATCTTATATTTGTCCATGAATTTTATGATTGGTTGATTTCATCCTCAATTAGTTCCTCAGCTATCATGATATATTCTTACTTGTCTATAATAACTGTAGTACGTCATTTTTCCGCTTGAATTTTGACGATATCTCCTCTAGTTCTATTACTTGGGGATAAAAGCGTACATAAATCTAATCAAAAGTTTATCAAACCAAATCTCAAGGACTTTGAACTAACTTGTCAAGTCGGAACAAATATCAAAATATGATCAATGGAGAATGAAATCCAATGGACAAGTACTCCCTCGATTGTAAGGTAGACAGAAAATACACAAACTAAACATCTCACTTCGTCTACTTGTATTATTCCACGGAACACCAACATACAATTTATCGAGAGAAATTTCAAAAATATTGAACTATTTAGTGGATTCATCAAATCTCACATAGAATTCTTATATAAACTTAAATAGTTTCAGATTAACAGCGACGAACTGATGACATCCTTCGATGTAAAACAGCCTTATTCACCTTGATTGAACCAAACTTAACTTGGGCTGATGCAATCAAAACAACGAGGCGTAAAATAACAGGTTAAAGGTGAACAATAACCAATCAGGATAAAGGTCGACAGGATAAATTGCGAGGAGGAGGAGGAGGACGAAACTGCATTTAAATCATCCGAACTTCAAATCTCAATCATATCTCTCTCTCTCTCTCTCTCTCTCTCTCTATATATATATATATATATATATATATATATATATATATATATATATATATATATAACGTATATGTTCATCGTCTAGTGATTTTTTTGCTTCACTCCAATATAAGATTTTTAATCGATGAGAAATAAAGTTAATCGACTGACATTATGATACATCGTTTTTTATAACCTCTTGTGTGCACACAACCCAAAGTGCTGACCTTGAGGCAGCACTAGATATTACGTTCATACACTTGTTTACGTTTGTATAGACTGTAGGTTTGCATAATTTTGTTGTTATTGAGGAATTTACGCCTTGCAAATTTGAATAAATTAACCTGATTAATGATAGACATTTAAGTAAATATGTTTACTAAAATAATATTACTATTTAAATTTTCCTGAATCTATCTAACATTAAGCAGCTTTCGTACAAGTACATATTTTGGAAAGTACATGACCAACTAAAATATCTAAGAAATATAGTTGAATGAATACCTGAGTTTATAATTGTCTGTTCGTCGTGCTTTTTAGGATACATTAGATAGACTTCTTTATAAGTGAAAATTATAACACAACTCCAAACTATTGTATTTGATTCCACAAAATATTGTTACCAGTACTTTATTTTCCTCGTTGTTTAAGCTAAGTAATTCAGTGTGAAATATTTAGAAAAGTTGCTGAATAACTTGCATTCATTGATGTAATGTTGAAAGGACTGATTTTAGTATTCCACCACAACAGCACTTGTGCCACTAGCTTACATAAATACTGATCTAATGGTCGTTAGAAAGTAATGTACCAAAAATGATCTGTGATTATTCAAGGATTGAAGACAGATATTCAGTTATGTTACATATGCTCTTTATTTTAAAACACCTTTGAATAACTTACACTTTTGTTTCAATTTATTCTTGTTATTATGGTTAAATGACTCTCAACAACACAGTCAAACTTGTCCGACTGCATGTAAATTGATCGCGTAAAATCCACTTTTTGGCCCCCGAAAATGGTCGTTACGTCAATCAAAAGTATCTAAAATACATCTGGATACAACAAAGTTATTTTTTCATTATGCGTACGTATTTTAAGTTTGTGACTTGTTTCGTAGAGTTTTAACGACATATCACTTTACTTTACATGACAGAAAAAATTCAACAATGATCCTGAAGCCTGGGATGATTTTGACAAAACTTCATTCAATGCATTGGTCCTGGTAAAACTAATAGATGATTGGTTGACACATTTAAAGGTATGACCTAACATTTTTAAAAAGAAACTATAAATGATTTATATAATCACGTTCATAGGAAATGGCAATGCATTATAATACTGCTTATACTTAAAAATATTGGTTGATGTACAAATTTCATTCATCATTTCAGACCTGATCGTGACATTGACTGTTATTATTTAATAATGAATGGGTATATATCTAAACTTTTCAGTACGTCTGACGTTGATAGATAGATGGTGTCTAGCAGTGGAATCTAAGACGCATATTTTGTTTTATTTCAAACTCAGCTTGATGTACTTATATCCCACAGTTGATGTTTACTCCGAGACTTCATTCCAGTGCCAATTTTTTGGAAGCCATCACGTTATCAACTTAGCTACTGTGTACAGACAGCCACTGATTCATACAATAGGGTGAATTTTAACTCATTTTTATCGGTTGCTTGAATCTTCCCATTGATTTTAAGGACTGCGATTAATCGGTCTCTTTTGGCATATGCACATTAAGGTAATCCGCACAAGATTCACATACGCCGAAAGAAACATCAATTTGAGTCCTAAACATCAACGGAAAATATGACTGTGTTTTGAAGCGAAACTAATTTTAATTTCAATCAAATAAGGCTTATTTACACAATCTAAGTAGTTTATCCATCTTAGTCAATAAGAGTTTCGAATATGATACAGTGAATTTAATATAACTATTTTTTTAGTAAATTGACTAACCCCATAACATAAACACATGAGATCAGTTTGTTTGTATGATATTTAAATTTCACTTTTCACAATCATTTTTTTGTTAACATTGGAACTAATTAAATTATATTACTCTACTTTCATCAAATTACAATATGACCATTGAGTGATGAAGGTTTCAAAGTAATTAATAAGTAGCTTTTAGAAATTATTTTAGTATTAGTTAGCACTCATTAGCATGGTTTATTTTAGTGGAGAATTTATATATTCTTTGCAAATTGATACCAATATTATTAAATGACCGAGATAAAAATCATATCTTTTTCTGATATATTTCTATCAGTTAGGACATTATTGTTTGCAATTGGTGATTAAAGCCGAATTATTCATTGATTGATTTATTAACTTATCATAATTGGCCTTTGTGAATGATATGTCTTGTCGTTCGAATGCTACTTTGTTATATCTGGTCGTCGCTGATTGTTGTGCTGGAAAACGCTTATCACTTATACTCGAAACAAGGAACCTCTGCAATTCCCACTACACGAAAGTAAGAACACAAGACTGGTATAAGTGAAGATTTATTGACCCCCAAAACACGACGACGACTCTAGTCAAAAATACACTCATTTATATATTGATTCGTAGGCCCATTTTGATTAAGATGGAATCACATATATAAAAAACACTCACAGTTGTAATAAATCATATGCTGAGCATAGTTCATGTCAGTTTTCAATAGAAGAATATTGTATGTTATACAATACAATACCATATGTGAAAACAAAACCTAATACTACACTGAATAATCATCACATTGAACCAAAAACGGAAGTAATATTGCACAAAACCCATAATGAGTAAATCAATCGAATTTTGACTTTTCTTTCCGTCATATCAGTGAACTACAGTACATATTGTATCTAGTAAGAAAGAAGTATTAACCGATCGCTTAGTAATCGACTCAATTCTTAGTGTTGGCCACATTCTATCGAACAGGTTTCAATGTGACGATTGGTTTAAGTGAATCAGCACTTAAGGGTTCTCTGTTTGATGTTTATTAAACATGAAAAAAACCCAGAAAGGTGCCTTAGACCCAAGGTTCATGCTAGTCGAAACTCACCAACAAGGGACGTCTATATTCTTAGAGGGGTTGGAATTCTTTGCAGGACTTCAATACGTGTTACCCAGCGTTTAATATGGAGAAACGTTATCGCTGGGTGATTTGGGCTGTAACTGATGTCTTTAAGCATTGAAACTTTAATACTAATCGATCATCGAGTAGAAACTAGTGTCATGTTCAGTCCGTTAGTTGTGAGTTAATTCCATAGATTAAGCAAAATCCTTTCAAGGTACTTTTATTTGGAGAATTGTTCATTGGAGAACCGACTGTTGTTGGTTAGCATCAATCAACCACCACAATACCTTATATGAAATTGATATGATGGAAAGAAAAATCAATTTTCGATGTAACTAACCTAACAGCGTACTTGATGATAATCTAATATAAATTAATAATCATTTTACGTTATTTGACAACCGAATAAAAATGTTTCTCAAACCTATTGTGAAACACAAAACAGTGTAAATGGTAGTTGGTTGCCATGATGTGCTAAAATTTATACTTGTTTTAATGACAAAAATACTGAACTTGTTAAAAACGGATCCAACACATACTTTTATCTGAATGCTTTAATAAGTGGGATTTAGATCAACATTATAATGACTAATGATTCATGATTCTTCTATTCTAATTAACAAAGTAGTTGCTTTGTAAATATTATTGTAACTCATTCAACCAAGCAAAAGTTTATATACTCACTTTCGAGCTACACCATTTGTATAAGAACCATATGTTTCGAATCGAATCACCAAACAAACTTAGCTAAACCTTTATCATAACTTTCAAGCTGATGGTTGAAAGCTGAATGCTTTTACCACTAAACCGCAGTTCCATAACTATTTTATGCAGATTGAGCTTATTTAAATATTTCTGTTTCTATCAGTTTTTGCGACTTTTATATCTCGTTGTTAATTTGTTATGACTGATCATCGCTGATTGTTATGTTGGAATCGCTGATTACTTTACTTGTAAAACGAGGAACCACTGTAATTCCCACGACGCGAAGTAAGAATACAAAGACTGGTACAAAAAAAGATCTATTAAACGCAAAACACGACGACGATCCTAGTCAAAAATACACTCATTTGTATATTGACTGTATACCCAATTTGATTATTAATTAGAATGAAATTATATATATGGATAATACCCATGGTTATAATAAATCAAATGATGCGTTTCGTGTTAAGTTAATACAAGAATATCGTATCTTTAACAAACATCACACTCAAATCAATATTATATCAAATAAAATGTCACACAGGAAATGAAAACAAATACTACACTGGGTAACCATCACATTGAATTAAAACGAGAGTAATCTTAGACAGAAATCATAATGAGTTAAAGAATCTAAGTTTGACTTTTTATTCCATCATATTAGTGTCATTGTTTTTGACAAAACATTACAAATTTGGTATTTACCGACAATTTTATGCAAAATAGTATGACCCCACTAACTAAAATATTGAATAAATGTTTATCATTAACTTAAAATGATTTGTTTTTCTCAAAAAATGTACTTGTAATTATTGTCAGTAGTATTCCCTTGGATAAGTCTTGTTATCAGCTGTCAAGAATTACACATTTATATACATCTTTTATAGTCTCCAGTGCTTCGAATGCAAGACTTGCTCAGCTTACAACAGAATCCTTTATTCGAAGAAGATATATTAACTTCTCTAGAGATTTTCGAGAAAGTAAGTTAGAGTATAGCATATTTACATGGGTAATTTTTATATTGATTTGTATTCTAACAAGTATAAGATTTTGTCTGAGTATTCGCCATAGTTTTTGAAATATTGGTCAAGGATTATAAGCACAGATGGATGGTGGCTAGCAGTGGAATGCAGGACGTGCGTTTCGTCCTATTTGGGACTCGTCAGCTGGGTGTAACTGCATCTTGAAATGAACATCAACTCTGGGATGAAGGCAAATCCAGCTGACGAGTTCTAGATAGGACAAAACAAACGTTCTGGATTCCATTGCTACCCACAATCCATCTTTCCTCATATTGTTTGTAACTGAAAACAATATCGAGGCGATCCACACAGGATGCACACGTGCCAATAGGATACTGATCAGTTTCAGTCCTAAACATCAGTGGGAAGATTCCAACAGACAGTACTAAATGAATATATTGATGAAACATTTTCAAAAATATATATTAACTGTTTTATGATTTGGTGATATTAGGAATCTGTTTCATGCAACTGTGGAAATTTTGGCATTAATTCTTTGCGAAAAAACTAAGATTTATACTTCAGTTTTGAGAGATGATTATTTGTGTTGTCTGAATATTGTAATTGAATCTTCACTGCACTATCAAAAATTAATAAATGATAATATCAATTCTTAGTTAGTCAACAATCGTAACTGCTTTCAAGTTGTAATAAAATTTGACTAAGTGTTCGTTGTAATTGTGTGGAGTCTTTCTAAAAATTTGAAGTTTGTCATTTTGTCAACATGTTGAAGTTAAATGGTATATGTCAAGTAAAATCAAATAAACTGTCAATTGGCAATGTCATCTTATGGTTTTTCATTATTATGGACAAATCTTTACTAATTGAATTATTCTATTTTTTAGTTAAGTATGAGCAATCTTATCTAAATGTGATGTTTTCATTACTTGTACAATTTTGAATGTAATCAGTATGCAAATTATTTATTTGAAATAATTGATATTATTTTCAACTAATTACAACTGATTCTTTAGTGTGAATTACTTCACCATGTTCCCTGTTATTTGAATGATTGAATATTCTATTAACTTTTTAAGATCATTTTTATTTTGAACATTTAAGATCCAATAAACTGAAGTTAGTCTTTGTTTTTTATTCGAAATTCATTTATGATATAACAAATAAAATTCCATGATTAAGTTTGTACTCTTCCTTTGGTAAATAATAATTAATTTTCACTCGAATAAAAATGTTTTAATCTTTTCTGTGAGAACATTATGAATTTGAAAAATGTAAGTCCTAGTTTCAACATTTGATATGGTTAGTAGTTCAGTTTTACGGATTAGTTATTTATTTAGTATAATTAAGGCTACGAGAACATGATCAGTTTACCTTTCGGATGAAAATAAGCCATGATTCACATGACTAATCAACTTAATATACATAAATTAATTATGGATTTTACTTCTGTGGACATCCAGGAATCGCGTCACCCAATTGTCGGTATCTAAGTCGACTGAAGCAAAATGTGTAAATTTATCATGTAGTACTAACCTCATATGATTGATTTTCGTTTCTATCTATTGTATGAAGCCTGTAAAATAGAACCTCCCAAGTTTATATGAATTATCAACTTTGCATATTAAGTCAATATATGGGTAAGTGTATGAGTAAAGTTTAGTGAACGAATGAACTATTTATTAAAACAAGAGTCCCTAATAAAGCGACTAATATATCGACTACTTTGTATACTTGAAATGAATATGTGCTGTTAACAATTAAAATTGAGTTAAACAGCTTATCATTTTGTCTCTCTCCTGAACATTGAAATATATTTAGTTATATTATGAGTATTGAATCAGTCTGTATAAATAGAAGTTTCTAAAAACTAAATGACGACTAAGTTAGATTAGTTTTCCTCAGCATTCTTGAGATTATTCGGTTTTTTGTATAACCACTTCGATGAATTGCATGATAGTGGGTTATTTAATCTAAACATGCAACTCAGTAGCGAATAGATCGATCTGCTTAACAAGTTTCCAATTACATTATGGCTGTGTAACATATTCTTTAAAAATAGAAGTCCTGTATTGGCTAGAAATTTTGGAATCACTGTCTATGTACTGTGGAGCGACTGATAGATTAGTGCCGAGTTTAGACTCAACGTACTAGGTAAGTATAACAGATTGATTGACGAGTTTATTCTTTGTCGAATGAGGTGGTTGAGATATGTGTTACGTAAACCTAAATCTTACCTACTTCGAGGCAAAATTTTCGCTAGTGTAGAAGTGAGTAGGAAAAAAATCAAGGTAGCCCAAACTGAAATGTAATATCGGTCCATGAAACCATGGTTTGTAAATCTAACTTAAGTCTTACAGGCAAACTAAAATCAGAGCTACCTGGAAGGTAATCCAAGTTGATATTAGTTGTCCTGATTTTCTCTGTATGTAAATTACTCTCGTCCATGTCATCAGTGGTACAGCTACACATATACACCAAAGTCTCTGCCATTTCAGACGATGCAACACAAAATATAGGTGAAAGCGCATGCTTCTGCAAGTTTCTTAGGAGTACTTTACAGTTGGGTGGTGCACAACCTATAGCCTACTTACAGACTCTAAGCGTTAAATGCGACTGCATTCATAAAAGTCAGCTTTAACTTTAATCCATTTGAAGCTAAACGATCAGTCATAGTATCTCTAACTTAATAAGCTGTTTAACAGCGAACTAATTATCATAAATGGATAGATTTAACAAACATACACTTTTAAAAGTAACAATAAAGGTGACACAAGTCAGGGCGAAAAACATTAAAACACCAAGTATACAGAAGCCTCATGATAGCAGTATCACAGGAAATTTTTCATAAATTATTAAAGTAATGATAGTAATAATTTGTATGTATGTTATTTGTATAAGTGTTTTGTTTGTGGCAACGAAACACTGTTAGTTATTTACATACGTTTGACTAAGTAAGGAATATAGAAGTGGGAATACCTTAGATTGCATAATCATCATGTTTCAGGCAGATGACTGCTTTCACAAACCTAAGTAAAGGAAGAAAAAAGTTAATTACTGAGGTGCTTACAAAAATGATCTATGTAACAACAAAACTATATAAGTGCGTGTATCTAGCTAATAGATTTTAATAGTAACGTAACTTCATGCCAGAATTATCCAACATATTTAGAGTAAGTGGTTGAACAACTAGGTTCTCACAGTGATTACTGGTAAAGTTAGGCAAAGGGTACTAAGGAAAGATAGATAATTGGTTAGTGGAACTGTTAATTGCGTCAACTGAGTTGATTAGAATGGGCTTCACTTATGTCTAATCGCCCACCTACTAAATGGGTAATCTTAGGTGGAAGAAAGCTAGAGGTAGCGGAATTAAAATGTGTCATCAATCCACGAAGTCACTGGCTGTGGATCTGAGCCAGGTTGCTAGGTGAAAAATACCTAGTTGAGGACAAATGATATGAAATGACTCATGATTGGTCATAACGACTCAGTTGTATTCATCCTTTATCTTCAGTCCCAGCATTCCTTTATACATACCTTTTTTATATTTTTGAATCATATTCTCAATGTTTTGTCTTCTTCGTTACCTTTTCTACTACATTATTTTGACTCTTTCGCTATCTGACTTATTAATCTTATTTTGCTATTGTGATATGGCTACTTGAATTAGCATACATTTATGCTAAACTCAGCGTTGATTATGAATGATTAACTAAAAGAACTTTGCTACTGTGACGTCACATCATCTTTTGCCATTTTCATAACTGACTTTTGCTTGATTATAAAATATTAAGAAAGTTCTCATCGCGTAATGTATAATAAAATATACAAACGAATAATATTGTTGTTAATTAGATTCCTCTCAGTTTTTACTTCAGCAGTATGTTGATATTTTTTACAAGTCAACTTATTCCATTCAAAGTGAGATCAGAAAACCTCGTTCGTTAATAAAAGTATGTCCGAATGTGTATAAATCAAGTTAACTTCCTATAAAAATACTTAGATGATGATCAGATTGTTAACCAATACTGAGCAACAAAAAAATCCAATGATTAATGAGTTGTGTGTAGTATTTATTTTACCTTTTGAAGTGTTTATCTTTTAAATATAAACTAAAGTATTGAACTATATCATAAGGGGTTTTGTGGAGATTTTAGTAATTTCAGTAGTCGAGATCATGAGTCAATTAAAGCTAGACCACCATGGAAAACCTGGAAGCACTGGACGACCGTTTCTTCCTAGCATGGGACTCCTCAACAGTGCGCATTCACGATCCCACCCCCGGGAGATTCGAACCCAAAACCTATCAGTCTCGCGCGCGAGCGCTTAGCCGATAGACCACTGAGCCAGCCGGTATCCAACGGTGTTTATGTCTAACTACAACTAATCCACAAAATCGCGCCACCGTACACCGTTTCCGTTCAGTGCTTCTAGGTTTTCTATGGTGGTCTAGCTTCAGTCGACTCATAATTTAAATATTGAAATTACTAACATCTCCACAAAATTCCTTCTGATAATAATCATCTGCCCACTAGTGACTGTCTTCAAGAGACATTTCCTGTAGTTCTAGTGAGAAGCCGTGACCAGTGGAGTTCAACCAGGTCTGTTGTGAGATATCAGCTCACTGAAGACAATGGTTCATGTGTCGCGCAATTTCATGGATTAGTTGAAATTAGACATTAACACCGCTAGATGCCTGCTGGCTCAGTGGTCTAGTGTTTAAGCGCTCGCGCGCGAGACTGATAGGTCTTGGGTTCGAACCTCGCTGGGGATGGGATCGTGGATGCGCACTGCTGAGGAGTCCCGTACTAGGGCGAAACGGTCGTCCAGTGATTCCAGGTTTTTCATTGTGGTCTAGCATCAATTGACTCATGATTTCAACTGTTGATATTGAATGATATATTAGATTACTTGCATTATTGACAAACTTATTTTCTTTAAAATCTTTATTTTAGCCAGTTGTTTGTTTAATGAGTTTATTTGCCAAATTAATAACTTATCTTCAACCTTTATCTGAACAAATGGAACATCTACTAATAGAACGTGTTTTAAATTGGTTATGTCAAAAACAATCGAAATCTTTAAACATTACAACAAATACAAAGAAATTCAATGAACAATTTAGATGTTATCATACAAGATTTGATGATTTATTGCAATTAGCTTTTAGAATAATGCATTTTTTAATTGAATTTGTTAAATCAAAATGTACATTAATTGAAAGTGTTAATCTGCTGTCTAATTCTTTGCCTGGTCCTACGTTGTAGCTGACTGGACTGAATTCTTTGCCTATCAGTCAATAGAAATAATAATTATAATGAAAAAGAAAACAATAATAAACATATTTTGTAACAAAACAGATGAAAATAATAATTATTTTATTAGTGTTGATAATTAATTTACGATGAAATGTTTTTTTAATAGAAATAAAATTAGATTACTTCATAGGATTTCATTTTGATTTTGGTTATTAATGTAGATTATTGAATGTCAGCTCTGTGATTTGAAAGT